GCGAACATATAGCCATCGAGGTAGTAGTTCTTGACACCGCCTTCCGGAATCTGTTCGAACCAGGCGGGTGGGTCTTCTGCCCGTGTGCCGAAAGAATTGTGCAGGCTGAGCTTAAATAGCATCCCATCTGAAGGACTGACCGTGGCCAGCGACTCCAAATCCCATGCGCCATCTTTCCAGGTTCCGGTCTGCATCCATCCACCCTCTAGGTAAATGTTATCCCTAATTAAGGCTGCCCGAGGCCTATCCCAGTATGCGATCTCATGCGATGTAAAGTTACATACAACTTCTTTGAATAGCATGTACACCCATGCGGTAGATTTTTTAGAAAACAACATCATGCAGAATTCTTCTCGTCGAGGACGATAAGTTCACGGCACTGCACAGTACTGATCGTGAAGCATGAAGAGGATAACAGATTGGGTGTTCATCCTTTCAAGACAACAATATAGATTACCATGTTATTTGCAGGCTTTACTCTTCAGTAGGGTAAAGGTGGGGCCCAGCTTCCCGATATTCCCAATATCTGAGGAAGAAGATTCCATTATAATCAGTGGTCAAGGCTTGTACTGTAGATTAGCCCAAATAAAGTAATGTATTTCACCATTTTCCACGTTGACCGGCGCATCGGAGATCACTGTTTTTACAATGCTATTTCCTTGGCCCTTTCGTCGCAAGGCTTTACAAGCATCTACACAAAAAGCGCAGCAGGACTTACCCAATCGCCTCCTAAGTCAACTGTTCATCGACTCAGAAAAGAATGGATGGCTACCGTTACAGTACTCAAATCAGCATCTGGACCTAATTTTATGGTGGTTGGGAAGGACCTCGAACATTACACTCATGTGGCCGAGCTTGGCATTAACAACTACAGTACCTAATACTAGTCGTCATAAACAAACCATTTCCTGCGCCGGGATTCTTTCAACTGGAATTTTTTTGACTCGTTGAAGCCACATACGCGAATATATGAGAGAAACGAGGTGGTTTTTGAATCAGGGCTGACTCTCAATGTGAAAGACATTCTCAATGAGCCTGAGGAGTCGAGCGTCGACATCACTCGTCTTGTGGAAAAAGGAGTTTTTGGGATGCCTCGCATATGTTGCTACTCGTACCCAAAGTCTATCTGTAAAAGAAGCTTAGTCAATTTGCTTGGGGCGTCCATGGTTATCAATGTGAAGCTGGCTTGAGACACTGTACTATAGGAAAAGTAAATCAAAACCCTTGGGCCGTCTTTGATGGAAATTGTCAAGTACTGTTCACGAAGTCCACAAGACTGAAAGGTTTTGTGGTTTCGACCTTTCGGCAAGCCCGGTCCTTCAACCATCGTAAATCTGGCAGCATCGTATTGTACTTGTAGTCGTACGCTGCATAGCTGCCGAAGAATAGGCGGCTGGGACAGACTATGATGTAAAAAATTCCAAAAAACCCTAACAATCGAAAATTACGCATACAGTGCTGTATTGTACTGTAACCTACTGTTTCTCAAGCCTAAAACTGGACTATAGGGTTGTTTCTTGGTGTCGCGTTCCACATCCTCCCACAGGAAATCATGGGGTCCTGCACTCCTGGTCGCGACCTTTTATCGACCTCTGACCACTGTTTCTACGTCTTTAGTCATCCAATCACGGGCAGCGGACGTTGGCGGACTGTGACAGGTGTTACCACGCTTCTTCATGGATTTGCCCGCGAACGTTGCGACCTCTTTATCGACCTCATTCCACTGTTTTCTATGGCTTTTGGGCACCCAATCAGGGGTAGCGGGTGCTGACGGAGTGTTGGCGGAATGTTGGCGGAGTGTTTCATGTTCTGCCACGCTTCTTCGTGGATTTTGCCCGCGAGCCGTCGCGACCGCTTTGATGACCTCTTACCATGATCTCTTATGGCTTTTGGGCATCCAATCATGTGCAGCGGATATTGGCGGAGTGGTGGTGGAGTGTTTCATGTTCTGCCACACTTCTTCGTGGATTTTTGCCCGACGCCCGACCACGCGGGATTATCCTTTTGCCGCGCCTTCACTGCTCCGCGTATCGCCTCGTCCAATCACGAATCAAAACGCATGTCCCCAGGATACTGTGGCATCTTACGCCAGCTGTCGTGACCGCACCGCCGGCCTCTTCCCACACGTCTTTCCGCGTCTCGTCCACCTCTACAGTACTGTCTATATTACGACACTTTAACACATTGACTTCAACTAGCGCAGCAACCAAAACCACGAAACTTTGGGGACTGCTAGGCAACATATACTGGCCGACTGTACTGCTCAAATTGACGTCAAGAAAACCACAACAGACACACCCTCTGCCTGGCGATATGTCTATGCCTTGTTACGGTGTCCGGGACTACCCTGTGTGCACCAGCCCTGATGTCGGCACGACACTCAGACTCAGAAAAGGTACACATTGAAAGCGCACCATCTACGAACTCTCGTCAGATATGTCGAGGATAAAAATTCTCTGCAATCCCACGACGACATCCCGGACAGCCTTCGACAGCAAAATTATGCGGAAGCAAGAACAATATGTGCGGAAGAAGCGTGTTGGGCGTGGATCTGTTTCTTTCGGTAGGACCCCCATCCAGATCACCAACGTTCTTAAACCTCAGTCTTCGACAGAGTCAGAGACCATGCAGCGACCCGAAACCATGGCGCCTCGGCATCGCTGGCCTCCACGATGTCAATGTCCAAGACTACTGTGACTGGCTCAAGTCTCGGGTGAAGAAGGAATCACACAAAAACGCATATCAAAAAGCAGCTGACTTTCTTCTCAAAAGATCCTTCGACCTCGATTTGGTCTATGAGGACCAGAATCCTACTTTCCTCGTTGAGCAAGGAGGGGTAGAGGAAGGCATCGCTCGGCGATTTGTGAAGGACCTTCCTCTAAGGGTCAAACTTTGCAAGCAGAACGAGGTTAAAGCGGACAGCATCTTGCAGTCCTCGCGTGGGCCCATACATCTTCGGTGAAGACATATTCGGAGGGGTGTTTGACTTCTTTGTATGTGGTGTTGTTGGGGACTATGATCGACGGTTATTTTCCGCCTGGACGCGCAGAGTTTATGACAATTTTTCTAGTGTTTGGATCTCAGGTTGACAGTACCTCGACCTCTTTCGTGTGATGGAATGATGTATTATCCATGAATTATTACAGATTTTTCTTTGGGAAAGGGATTACAGTGACAGAGTAACTGCTCGATACAGTCTAGTAACACGGTGCGCGATGACGATTCCGTCCTGACTGAATGCGAGTAGAATTGATATCGCTTTCCTCGTGGAAGCCGGACAATCTCGGCAGGATTTACCCCACGAGGCGACCATCCTCAGCGGCAGAAGCCAGTTCTTTTGTCGCATCCGGATTCGTCGACGGAGACTCTTTGGATATCAACGATACTCGGACATTGCATTCTGGTAGTTGTCACGAAGGTCAACATTTAGACAGTTTGCAATACGTCGTGTCGCTTTCGCGGACCAGCCCGTAGAAGATAGAGCTCTGCTGATCGTCCAACGTGATACAAGCGTCTCAATTTCATCCCACAGCCATATGACCATGCCGTCCAATTCTTCATCGGGCTCATGAAATAAATGTTCGCACAGCTCCGAGGTCATTCGCTGCCCTAGGAGTTTGATAGGGAATTTAAAACCGATCTCGGTGTGCAGTAGGGGAATCTTGTCGCGTTCGGCGATTCGTAGCGTTGAATCGCATACAACTAATCGCGGCTCGCAGTATTAAAGCCGCTGACTGGAGCACAACGCGACTGTGAGTATCTTGAGCTAATACCATATTAGCACATCGTCGAACGTTGATCTGTTGTGATTCAAGGCTGCCGTAATCGATGTCAATGGATGGGTGGAGGGAACTTTCTGATTGGTGAACACCGAAATTGGGATGTGTCCATACTGTGATGATGGGTTTGGGAATATGCCTTTTAGCTGCACGATCAGGAAGTTCATGAACAGACTGGAGAAAACACCGCGAAACACCGCGAAAATGGCCACTGAAAGAAAGGCCAGGAATAAATGCCCAAATCCAGGAGGGAAAGACCAGCAGAAGAAAGAAACACAGTAATACCAAAAAAAGTACAATGGAAATTACCTACGAAAATTACCTACGAAAAGCTAATATGCGAAAAGCACCTACGGAAAGAATCACCCAAATTACCAACAAAATTAAATTACAACAAAATTACAACAAAATTACAACAAAATTACAACAAAATTACAACAAAATTACAACAAAATTACAGCAAATTACAGCAAAATTACCACCATATCCACGAAATAGAAGAACAAAACACACCTGTAATAGACCCTCTTCTCGCCTTAGCCGCATTGCGCAATGCTTAAAATTTTTGAGACGTACAGTCTTGTAAAAGAAAAGACAAACAGCAGTCGCGAAGCTGAACTTTACGAACATTAAACGTAGATGCAGAAGGTACGTGAAACTTTCCATAAATGCACACTTTTCTTCCTTTCCGTTACGTTGCAGAGAATACTCGGCAGGTATAAACAATTGCTAGCCCAACTTGCTGACATTCCTCAAGGAAGACGTATGCAGTACCTATCATTTCACACCGAGGCTGGACACTACTCGTACTGCATCGTCCGTGGCTAGGTTATTGGCCTGCTTGGCCCTCCTCGGAATATTACCACGTGACGATCATTCAAGCTCTTCTCGATATTATCCTTCTGCCAGCATGAACGACAACGCAAATGAGGCATCCCAAAGTTACTCCTCAGTGGCTTATCAGCCCAAAGGCAAACGTATTCGAGTCATACAGCAATTTGTAAACACAATTCTGGAGGATGACAAATTTTGTGAACCACCACGCCAGCCTTTTGAACGACCTGGTGATGACATACACCTTTATGATTTTATCGGTGCCGTAGACATCAAGACGGATCGTCGAGGGAAGAAGTCAGTGCAGTATCACGTAAAATGGAAAGGCTATGGTATCAACTTTATGACTTGGGAACCGGAGAGCCATATTTTCGAAGAAGATTTGCTGGAGTTATGGTCAAAATATGGTCGGATCTGCGCCACCAAGAAAAAGGATCCGCAGACACTCAGACTTCGTATGCAGCAACTGCATCAATGCCATCCATCAGAAGTCCACAGAGCTGATGTTCAGGAAATGGCTCAGGCCGACCATGTTACGCCGCCAAAATCGCCGGAGACCGTCGAAACATCCTATGAGCAGAATGTTAAACGAGATGGTGGCAGCCCCGGTCTTGATCCGTCCCAAAATCTCAAAGCATCAATGGAAGTTGAAGGTCGTGGTAGGGGTGATCCAGGCCCATGTACTCCGCTGCGCTTACCTATGGTCGATCGGCAACCGACGCCTCCACAACAAAAGGCTGCTCGACTTGATGAGGCACATCAGAATCCTTTGGCATGCGTCCGTCGCCCTGAACCTCTTGATATGTCCCAGGAGCCACAGAAGCAAGATGCCACATCCTCACATCAATCAGAAACTAACGAGGTTAGACCTATGGAGGAAGTCGACACGGCATCTGTGGCCGGTGATAATTTCTTATACCATGTGCATACCTCGCGTGATAAGGCGCCAAAGAACGGGTCACATACTCGTACTAAGACTGGTTGTCTCACCTGTCGCAGAAGAAAGAAGAAATGCGACGAAAACCGTCCTTCGTGTGAGTGGTTATCCTAGTTGTCATGTAAAGCACGACATCCGTTTAGTCCCAATTCATCTACTAACATGCTGGCAGGTTTCAGTTGCATTCGTCTCAAGTTGCCTTGTCAGGGATACGATTCAGGTCCCCGACGGGTAGAACCTGTGCCTATCCGTGTTCCAGCCACCCGACAGCAGTTCGGCGCGCAAGACACCACTATGCTTGCACTGCCCCAGCTGTCCGAGAGCCACGAGCGAGTTTCGAATCATCTGTTGCATAGCACTTTTTCAAGCGACTGCAGTGGGCATCTCCATGGGTCAAGATGTCTTCCACGTCTAGCTGAGCTGTATCTGCCAACACTAAGAGAGGATGCAGGTAGAGGAGCACGATCTTGGGAACTAACAGTCGATGGCGGACGACAGGGTTTCCCCGTGAGGGACTCGACTCTGAGGCCCATACAGTTTTCTAACGTCCACTCTATCCCCAGCTGTCCTAGCTCCTCACCGAGCTATCTGGGCTTTCCTCAGCCGATCGAGCCCTCTGTATGGATCGAGCCAAATCAGATGGCAATTGAGAAAATGCCACAGCACCACTGAAGCTCTGGAGGCGCCTGGGAGAGACATTTGTAGTGTTGTATTCTCCCATTTGGAAAGGAGGCTGTGCTCCTAGAACTCAGGACGGAAAGTATGAGGTTGAGTCTCAATTAGTATGCTCGTGCACCTCTGGGTACACTCCAACCAGAACATGAACAGTACCAAACACCAGTTAATGGAAGCAATCAGCCCCGCAAACACAAAGATGCGTCGCTTCTTATTCCACCCCCTTTCCCCGCCCGGGGATTGTGAGTGCCTTCACCCACGCCTGATGCCATTGGACCGATATGTAAAGACGTTCAGACGAGCGTAGTCGTCATGCGGCGGGGTCCACGTGACGGTCACTGTATTACCCTCTCTCCATAGATGGCTGATGGCGTCGTATTGTGTTACATCCTGCGCATGACACCGATGGCATTTCTTCGTATTTTGCGCCATGAGCACACAAACCTAGATGACGTCCTGCCACAGACTCATAAGCTCTGCACTATGTCAGTGGGCTACTCGAAGTTGAAAGGTGGTAGACGCACTGCACAAGGGCGAGCTCGGGAGAGATAATTCTGACACGTTGGGGTCGCAGAGCCTTCTGGCTCCTCTTTTTGTAGCTCTTGGCGACGTACCTGGGCTGCTGAACAGATATGAGCAAGGTTGACGTACCAATCGCGCTTGCGTATCGACAAAATGTGGTCACCAGCTTTGAACATTTCAAAGTCGTCGCGACGCTTGGTCTGCTTTATATCCACCTCTCCTTTCTCGAGCGGGAACATTTTCTTCAATATTGGGACCAAGTCTTTTGGGCCATAAAGCTCGCAGATCTTGATGCCAACTCTTATAGGTACATATCTGCCTTGAGCGCTTCCGGGTCCGATGATACTCTCATACTCGAGAGTCTGCACTCGCCAATCCAGCGGAATATGGCCGCGATGATAACCGGCTGCTTGAAAAAGCTGAGGAACTGCATAACGTCCAATGGCTCCTGAAGTGATGGGATCACGACCCCTCATAAGCGGCCACCAGTATCATGGATACATGCGTAGGAGTCCAAATTGAGTATATCTCCTAGTCGAGTGTCTTTCTCCAATCGTCCAGTGAAAAACGTTGTCGTATTCGAATCCTTGTTGCCGGAAGATCTTGGTACATCTTGCTGAAGTTCGAACACGGTGTCAAGAGTCGACGCGTTGACGAATCATGCCGAAAGAGCCGTAGTCAGATGAGAGGCTCTGTACTCAAGCTCCATCGATAATCAAGAACCCACGGGCTCATGAGTCCATCAGCGGTAAAACTGGCTTCTCTCTAATGGAGACGATGCAAGTTTCCCGTCTGCGACCTCTCGCTTGATTGAAAGGCTGGAGATTTGACGAATTTGCAACTTAACGCCAATGGCTGGAAATAGTGTTCAAACCCTCGCACCAGGAGGGTGGCGGGTATCGACTATCGAGAGCCAATAATTTCGTGGACAACAAATACGCAAGGGTTTAGAAAGAGGTAAATCGCAGCACGGTGTCACCCCTCCGCTGAGCGAATGCGACACTGGTCTGCAGAGCGCTATTGCCTCAGTCGTAGAGAGGTTGGTGCGGAGCTGCTGCCTTTGCGGTGACCGTTTCAGCGGCCAGATATGAGTCAATTGGGCTCGCATGAAAGACCCTGAAGTTGAAGGTGTGTGGTCGATTATCAATCTCGATGCATTTGACTAGTTGACTCAGGAACTCCAGATGTTGTAACTGACGCCCGGGCCACCACGAACGCGTGCGTTGTATGCGTTTCCACTTCCCTCGGGCTCAGATGCTCCACCAGTAGCTTCATCGTCTGATAAGTTGCAAACCGCCAGTTTCCCATTGGCACTTTCTTGAGCCATGTCATTCCTTACACGCGTTCCAATTTACTCCTGGATGTTTTCATGAGAGGCTGGGGTTTCGAGTCAACTTGTGTAACCTTTCTTCCATATTCCTTGTGGGCGGCTGGGTCAATGACTGACTGATGAAGGAGAGCAGCATTCTTACTGCGTCAATAACCTACACGAGCCTTTGGCTCACTCTATGCACCAATATGACGCGCCAACTGAAGGTTGGTCCAGGCAGATGTAGCGTTGATCAGTCCAGCGGATCAAGAAGAGGCAATATGCTTCATCTTTTGAGACCGGCAGCGCGTTGGTCTTTTTTGTGGCGAATCTTTTCTTTAAATGTAAAAAATCTGAGCGCCTTAAACTGATCTCTCAAATCTCTTTGACACAAGGCACGCTGATGCTCGTCGAGATGAAAAGAGCGAAGTACTCAAGGTCACGCAATGGCTGCTTAAGCTGCAAGTTGAGCCATGTACGCTGCAACGAGACATCTCCTCAATGCGGCAGATGTATTAAGAGCGGCAAACGATGCTCCTACTTAGACAAAGCAGTGAACCCATTCGAGAGACAATCAGACGACACATCACCGAGTTCTCTGGTCGACGAAACTAAATATGAGGTCACCCAATCTGTCCCATTGTCGCAGGAAATTTCGAGTAGTAAAGCGTGTCTTCTAGAGCATGCGCTTAAACTATCGAAGAATGAGTATGCTGTATGGGGGCGAATCTTACCAATGTTAGACAATCCTAGCGCTGTTACGTTGTTGAACTCTAACATGGCGCACAGATGCCTTGAAATAGCTCCGACGGAAGCCTTTGGGCAGTACTCTTTGCTGGGGTTTTCTGCGTCTCACCTTGGCTGGGAAAAGGGGGGGAAGGCTCCAACCATAGCTCGACGCTGTCAAGCACTGGCTTATTCTGGATTACAAGGTGTTGAAGTCGTTTCAAGCGAGAACTCAGAAGTTGTCCTGGCAGCTACGACTCTTTTACTTTGGCAAGCTCCGAACAGGTAAGGTGTTGCAGCTCAAGGCAAAAGCGACTCTCACACGAATTTTAGGTTGAGTTGGCAACAGCTACGAAATGAACTGTCGAATGTACGTTGATTGAAATGATTCTGTGACATCGCTAACGAGTCATCAGGTTCGAGAGGCCATGAAACCATGGGCCCACGAGTCACCGCTTGCCCGTCACCATGGTGTGGCTGGATTGGTGCGAACACCACAACCCGCACTTATTAGTGAATATCGAGTGAGACTTCTCCGCGTTCTAAGTGAACTGCGTTCGCGATTCGAGGAGAGCGGACAGTCGGATAAGTCTTTGAGAATACGGTCTATCAGGGATATGGAATCAAGTTTACAATCCATCGAACAGAACTTCGAGGATCGCGAACCGCTTCTGGAAATCCGTATTTTAGACTTGTCCGCCCCTTCTCAAGACCCTTCGCGCCTCTCCAATGCTCACCATGAGTTTCTTAGCCAGATTCACGTTGTGAGAAGCCTCGTTCTCTGGTTGCCACCATCAATTGTGGACACAGAAACAATTAAACCATTGGATCTCGTTCTTCTCGCGCTTGTGTACGCTGGGGCGCTGATGGTAGAACTTTCGCTCCCAGAAGGTGGAGATCTATGTTTGGGCGAGCTGTCTCTTCGCACACTGCTGAGCGATCAAATTCAGTTGGCGGAGGCTATAAGTTGGCAGGAGCTGGATCCAACTCTTCAGAACGCAATCTGTTTGACCGATCGAATTGCTGCAACGTACGAACAAGCGCGAGAACCTGTGGAGAACTCCGAAATCAATTAGCAAGTCGCGTAGGGTCCGACTGGAAGGGGAACACTCACTTTCTGTATGTAATGTTTGCACGCAGGCATCTGGAGATACTTGGAAATAGACGGTCGCAGTTGGACCTCGCATTTATCAATGACCTCATCGCCGGAAAGAGCCCCGCGTCTCCCAAATGCAACGGGAAGCGGAGATGACGCTGAATAGTGATCGGGAAATGCAAGAGAGCAAGCGAAAGCAGGTTCAATCAAATGGAAGAATGAAAGAAAAAGAAGCAAGGCGAAGGAAGGTTGAGTTGGAGCAGCTAAAGATGGGTAACGAGGTCGTGGCAAACCCGAAAAGAAAGAGACAAGTGGCAAACAAAACCAGGAGACTAGGCGTCAGCGTGCGAAACGCATAGCTGAAAAACTATGTCCATCGAACCTTTGACGATGCTCGAGCGACTCGTATCCTCGATCCAAGGTGCAGCGGTGTTTGCACGACACATCATATGCGCGAACCAATGTCGAACTCCAGCAAAACAAGACTAGCAGACAACCCTCTCTCTCGCATCTCGCAGTCACTCGGATGGTGTACTCTTTCATACAAATATATACCACTGTATCAACCATCGATCTTGGGTCTTATCAACCTTTGAGAAGTATATGGATAGCTTCATTTGTTTTCATAAGACGATTTCGGGATCTTTTTATCCCCGTCCTTCTCTATCGCCGAGCCCTCGTCTGAACTAGGTTTCGTTAGGATAACTATTCATTCAAGAGAGTTGACTTACAGGTAGGTGTGGGCGTGTTTCCCACATTGTTGACATTTCTTGCCTCCCCAACACTCTTTGGTTGAGGCTGCGTCCTGTCGAATTAATCTTGGTGTTGACGATCTTCCTTGTTGCGTATTCTCCATTCGAATGGTATGTCTCGAAATGCAATGTGCCACCCAATAATACAATGAGAGGAGACAAGAAGCAAAGAGCTTACGAGAAGACACCTCATGAATATAAGGGTACGGACTAGTGGAAGCAATCTAGCCATACTTCTTCCAACCACCCTCCTAATGTTATGGCTGGCGTGAAAATCAAACCCCGAGCTCGTGCCTCAGACGCAGGCTAGAGCTTCGGACAAACTAAGGGCTATATTCGTGTAGATAGAGGTTGGACAAATAAAAATTCAAGGCTCGTGTGACAGGTGGCAGTCAAGATAT